CTCGCATCGCCGACATAATTCAGACGTTTCCACCCTATTTATTATTTTATTTTTTCACCATTAATTTTTTCCGCGGCGGAACGTGTTAGCATACCTCTTATAATTTGTCTCCTCGACCCGCTTGGACCCCCCTCCTTTTTTTATCGCGCCTACATCTGAATCGGCCCGGTTGAAACAGAACATACCCTTTATCTGATGAGCTCTGGAGTGTGTTCTTTCCTACGGTCCTCAGGGCTCAAGGATCTGTTTAGATTTTAGCATCGACTGATTCATCTGGTGTGTCATCTTGATCTGTGAGCTCCGTGATTCCCCCTCTCCTTTCGGACACACACGTGTTTTTCCTTCTTTTTTCATCGCTCGCCGTGCTCCTCCTTTCTTCTTCTTCTCCTCTCGTCCCCTCTCTTTCTTTCTCTTGATCCTCTCACCAGGACCTAAAACACACTTCTCCAGAAACACTCGCATGCTTTTTTATGCCTCCGGACCGCTGGTCCATAGTTATAGTCTTCTCTCTCTCCTAGATCCATCTGAAAGCAACGCATGGTCACAATGTTTTTTCCCCGCTGTTTTACTACCTGGCATCATTGCGTGCTGTCTCTTTTAAATAGTCGAGCATTTTAGTACTACGATTCGAGCTTTTTATGTAACAGTCCAACCACAATCTTTTTCCCTCTCACCACCCCGTGCTTCTTTCTGTGTTTCATTACCTTTCACTTGAATCTTGGTTGCTAGACTGAATTTAAGGAAAATGCGTCTTTTCTTAGTCGTGAAAAGAAATACCTAAAATATATAAATGCTTTTATGCTAAGGCGGAAAGAAGCTTTTCAAAAAAATTTCAGAACTTATTTTTTTTTGGCAGGCACACGCCAGAGAAATAAGATCCTGCATATTCTGGGTCTTGGACATTTTGCACAGACACACAGACACACACGAAAAAGAGGAAAAACCCTCCGGGCTTCAGGGATATAGCGAGAATTTTGGAATTTCGGGATGTATCCAAAAATATTTTGAACTAATCTTAAAATGCTTTGAATTATTTCAAAATCCAAAATTATTAGGAATGTATTCTACATTGTATGCTTTAAAATAAGTTATTTAATCATATTTAGGTAAATTTTAAAAACGAAGAAATAAATTAAATTAAAATGTGTCAAACTTTTCGCAAAAATCATTTGTATATTTATATGTCTTTATAAACATACATTTTAAAGCAATGTCATGAGTAGTACTGATTAGACAAGATTTTGACCAGATCTCAAAGAATTCAACCATGCTTCTGAGATAATTTTTTGTTTCCCGGGCACTTCGGCCCCCTTCTCCCCTAATGTCTTACGCAACATTTTCAAGATTCCCACCTCCGAAACACTTTTCCGTCAATTTTTTACTCTCGTATTCATCATCTCATAGCTAGCCATTGACCCCTAATCTCATCTCACTCAGTCACTATGAAGGAAAAAATTCCCTTGCTGAGGCAAAGCGGCGAATAAATACTCTGACGTCATGAAATTTCTTCTGACATAATACAATATTTTGGGGGGAAAATAATCGAATTACTATTATTATCATTTATTTATTTATTTATTTATTTTGAAGAAAAATTAAAGAGTTTGTTTTCCATCTGGTGTCGTGTCGTTAAAGAATTGAGGGGAAAATAGTCCTAACTCATCAAAATCCTGTAACTCATCGTGGGAACATGCTCTGCAAAAACACAGTATGAGCATCTGAACGTTGCCAAATTGCTGTCGACGAATTTTACAATTTGTTTGGAGTGCTATAAAAATTTCCTCCTGAAATCGTCAGTAACGCCAGACTATGAATATCGAATACAACTCTCGAAAAAATGCGAGGAAAACACCCCTCAAATTATCAATAAATCGTTCGTTTTCATCACAAAAAATCGGCAACATCCAGCCGCTCATACAGCGTTTTTCCAGAGGACAGGAGGAAAAAATTCCCTATTCCGTCCCGCTACGAGACGACTCTCGGTCTGTTGCTGGCTGTCGCAGCGGTGCTGTCAAGACGCGCATTCTCTTGTCACTGCAACCATGCTGAATAAAAAACGCGGATCTCCGTACGGTTTCGATGGGGTTTAGGTGGTTTCTCCCCGGGGAGGCAGGCTGGGGCTCGGGCAGGCGGCCGTCTGCGGGGCATTCTCCGACCCCTGTGTTCGGTGTTGGGTGTTTAGTCGCTTCGAGTTGCTCATCGGTGTCGCTGTCAAACTTCGCGCGGTCTTCCGCTCTCACCAGACAAACGGGACCGTCTTTTTGCTCTTTTTCACGTCCCTATAGTTCCTTGCCACGAATCTGCCGATTTTTAGGTAAAGATTTTTCAAGTGTCGTGTGGTGTTATTAATGTATTTTCCAAAGGAAAATACCCTATTTTTGAAATTGCTGGCTCTTCTCGTTCAAATATTGAGAGTTTACTAACGTCATCCAAGACATTTTCGGACTCTCCGGTTGATTTGAAATCTGACGTGCTTTTTTCCGCCGAACGGCTCGTTTCTGAAGTGTGTGAAAGTACCTAGGAAAAGGCGTATTTCTCAGTGTTGACGTGGTACCAAAATAGGATCATTCGATTGAAGTACCGTTTATAATGGTTTGGTAAGTATTTTAAAACGTTCTCGTATGAAGAGTCTTGAAATCTTATTTATTAATTGATAACATCGAGCATTCAGGCTTAATTGAGCCAAATTTTTCAATTATGAACTACAATCTCTAGCTCATTACAGATACAACATATGTGTCATTACTTTCCTTGTGCAGACAAGTGATTATCTGTGTGAACCAGAAATTGTAGTTCTATTTTGCAAAATGCAGACCAATTTACCTTGAAAGTTTGAAAAAATATTTTCGTTAATGGATTGATTCGACCAGAATCATCCTAACTACATCAGATGATGTCTGCTTTCTTCTTGTGTTTCATTTTCTTAAACAGAAAATTGAGTGACGTTTTGACCAATAAAATCTCCTCAAAATATGCTTCTGATATGAGTAAAATACACAGAAAGGTTTAGTGTTTGTCAAAAATACAAAAATAAGAGGAAACCTGGCAACGCGAAATGCAGTCAGGATAATTTTGGTTAAATCCGTCCGAAACCTTCCAGGAAATTTTTAAACTTTCCGGTCAATTTGGAGTCTGATTGTCTCTTGGTTATAGGTGACTTAGTACTAAAGTTATTGGATTCTTCGAGCAAAATGTCAACCATACCTTGTCTGATTGTTTAGTAAATGCACACCGAAAAGAAAGACCACATGCAGTTCGATGAGATATTAGTTACTGAATAGCGTTACAAAAATTAACCTCTCAGTTCTATCTACATAGAGTTTTTTTTTTTAAAAAAGACCTGTACGTAATAGTATGTGACGCATATTATGTATACCTACATACTTGCAGAACTGGCACGGAGAAAAATATGAAGGTTTCGCACAGTACTACTTTCGCCTTCTGTTTGCGAGGTAGGCCACAAAACATCCTCTATGTATCAATAGTCATGTGTTCGATGATTAGTTTCGTGCAGATCTTGCCTCATATTAATAAATATGAATAAATAAATAAATAAATAAATAAATAAATATTAAAAGAACTAATACCGGGGAAGAAGCGCTTCTCACGCGCGTGTGCAGAATGCGAAACCCAGAAGTTTCAAAGTGGTATCATTGAATTTCTCTTAAATTTTTTTTCAAGACAGAGGCGGATCCAGCAATTTGGCAACACCGGATTTCATCAATGTAAACGGATGCTAAATAATCGATTCTTGTCGGAGCACTCGACCCCTCCAAGAATCGATAGATCTCCATAGGTTTAAGTGGAGAAATAACAATGTTGCCAATTAGCTGGATCCGCCAATGCAAGAGTAAAAATTTAAATATTATAATCTCTTAAAATTTAAAATTTGACCAAATAAAGTATGCATTATTTGCAGTTACAGTCCAACCTTATCCCGAAAGCTCGTTCCACCGTGAGGCGGGTGCAAAAAAAAAAAAAAACACTTACGCATATATGTGTTGTCTAATGGTTCTGCTCTCCACGTCACAAATAATTACTACACCAAAAAAGTATCGCCCTTTTGAATATAAAGATGGTGTGATAATTCTACGGCTCAAATAGTCAATTTTTTCAGCAGGAAAACCAGGGAGTACGCGCATTGACATAATTCGGGAACAGGCAATTTCAACCGGAAATTTCCATATTACACGCAATGTACTCAGAAACAAATGAGTATCTTCTCCTCCTATATCAATCAGAACCAGGAAGTGGCCGGAATTCCTCAACTCTCAAGTGTCGTTGTTGCCTCCCTTCAGGTATCACGTCGTTGCCGAGGGTCCAAGCGCCTTCATTCTCGGGAGCATGCAACACACCATACGCGGATTCGTTCAGCTGTTATCGCCTGTATCTTCCTTCTGGAAGATACCGATCGTGCGAGAGGACTGAGAGGAGGCATCAATTTATGTCTATTCGATAGCATAAACATAGTTATTTTATTTTTGGCTACAATTCGATATAATTGAAAGAGATTCTCTGAAGAAGAATTCATTGTAATAACGCCGACAAGACACCATGATCCACAACTTTTCCACACGAAGTTAGGCCGAGTGGCATATCGAATAAACTTTTGCCTAAAGTTTTGTACCGCTTTTGATTTTTTTTTTTTTTGTAATACCCGGATTCTCTAGGGGAATATTAGGTCAGCATTTGTATGTTTATCACAGTCGTACACAATTTTTTTTATTTTTCATGTTGGGAATTAAAGAATCTACCGGTCGATTGATGTACAGGATTGTTTGATATTCCGATGTGCGTTTAAAAAACTACCGAGAACATCGATTTTCTAGGATTATTTACTAAGGTTTATTCAACCATGGTTGGAAAGGTGTGCGGTCTTGTGCACGTATTCAAGCTGCTTCCATATCTTCGTTCTCATTTCACACATCGAATTTTTTCTTTTGTCATAAAATGTTATGCGATAAAATAATTCACACTCGATATCATTTCCTCTGTTACAGGCTAAGCGATCAAGAACTGATTCAGGTGCTAGGACCCCGGACGCTCTAAGGTAAGAATAATAATATCTCTCAACAGAGGGTCCTGCATGAATAATTTAAATTAAATTTATTGGGAAATAAATTATAAATTATTTCAAGTATGGAGCTAAGTCTCTAAACTATTATCCGCGTAAAAAATAATGTAAAAATGTATTTAATTTTTCACCTCACCGGTATGAAATTTTTTAGGTCACAAAGCCCCACGGAGTGTTTAAACTGAAACCTGTTTTTCTTTCAAAATTGTACCAATGTCGTAACATGTTCGTACAGTGCATATACACAATGGATAGACATAGAGCTATAGCGTATATACAACATATGGACGTGTTTAATTATTTATGCCAAATGAAACAATTTGAAAATTAATCAAATTAAAAGTAACAACTATGTTCATAGGGTTTGCGTGCTACACAGCTCCTTTTAATTATTCATTTGCGCATAATTCTTTTCAGCGTAAATGTAGTCCAAAAGGCAATTATTTACACACTACATATAATAACTTTTTGATGTTAGCAAGGGGAGTACTCAATTGAAGCTCCTTTTGATTGAGAAAAAAATGTACTTTTCGTAGTGGAACGGGGATGAGGTCATACCGAAAACCAAAGCTCCCCTCCTCTAGAACGTTATACACACTTTTAAAAACTATATTTTAAACTTCGGGACGCATTTAGTCGCGTATGTTATTGTCTACAGTTATACATTAATTAATGTAATGAGTAAATCATTCTAAACAAACTCGCTGTTTTGCTCTTAATGGCCGACTAAATTTAGAGACCGTGTTGACAGTAATAAATGCTCGACACGCAAAGCTACACCCATCCTTCATCCCTTTCACATTCTCCTTCCTCCTACCTGCTTCCCTCTTTTCAGTTCGAGATGTATGCGTATATTTTTCGATGCCAAGCCACCCTTCGTCTATTAATGGCTCTTTATTAGATTTTTATCGAACAATACTTCAATCATATTGCAATAACGAACTGACTTTCAAGCGATTCGCACAAATGCCGAATTCCAACCATAAAAAATTTCGAGTTGACTCGCGGAGGTGAACTGATAAAATCGAACCGGTGAGAAGCTCATCTCTGTTGCACCTCGTGATATCTCGTTTTTACTCATGAATGCAGTACAAAATCCTCTGGATCCAATATCAAAGGTTGACTAAAATGAATGTAGAAAAATATAAAAAAAAATTGAATAAAATCGAAAAATATATAAAATTAACATAGATCCAATCTGTAAAAATAATTTCGTTCCAGACGAGATGGTACCATTTTCTCTGCCGTCGAATTCATCGAACGAATGTATCGAAATCGAATCATACGCCTTTTCATTTCCTCGACAACTTCGTTGATTCGTCTATTTTCACCTTTCGTCGGTTGAAATATTTACAGCTTCATCGATATATCTAGCATTCGTACCCATTCGAACATTCCGTATCATTCGATCGCGAAAATTCGCTTATTTTCCTACAAATTTCGTTGATTCATCCATTCTCGCCTCTGACTTCACCACGTCAAAATTGAAGCAAATACGATCAAAACAGCACAAGCCTACTTTTTGACGGAACTAAGATAACATCATCTCTAAATAACTCTTTAGGCCTCATTCGTAGACAAAAGAAAAATTTTATTTATATCTATGGAGTCATATGTGTAAATAGGTAGAAGATAGGTAGATAGTTATAAATAGATAGATATAAATAGATAGATATAAGTAGATAGGAATAAATAGCTAGATGTAAATAGATCGACAGATTTTTATAGAAATAAGCAAACAATACATTTTTGCGGTTTAGAGGGAACTTACCCTCGAAAACGGTTAACATTTTCCGATACTGGACTAACATTGAGGAGGGAGAATTTTCTCAAAGGTTTACAATGAGCACTGACTGACCGCCTTGCCGTTCAGCCTCTCGAAGTGCTTCGCGTTTCAGGCCTTACTCGTCATTCTCATGATTTTATATTACAGAGTATAAGATTAAATTTTGACTCTTTTCACACTGTGTTCTCAAAAACAGAAGAAAAAGAAAAAAGTTACACCGTAAAATAACAGAGCATAAAGTCTAATCGCATGTTATATGGTGTAAAAAATTTAGAATCAAGAAGGCACAAATCTACATTCTCATTTAAGAAATGCCCTGGGTAATGTAGAATTTGACATTGGGCATTTTTAGGTCTGTTCGCACTGATCTTGAGTTTGTACTTCAGCTTCGGCTCCAAAAAATTCATCATGCTTAAAGTTAGTTACAGCTTTTTACGGTCTTTGCAGGCCCATTGTTGAATATTTATCGAACGGTCTTGATCGATTGATGCTTATCTTTTATCAAAGCCATTTGATAACGATTCAAAAATCGACCCGCTGAAAATTGGTTAAAGTGACTTCGTGACGTTTTGAATTCACATGCTTCGAATAGCTAATCGCCTAAAATCAGGCTGGAGCCCAATCACAGTAGAGTCCCTTTATACTTAGAGTCAAGACAACACCCCCTCATGGAGTCACAAACGGGAATAAAGATTACAGAAATTGAACGTTTTTTGTAATCTTTGATCGGCCCATTCTCAAATTCCTTTCTCCGTTCCTTCTCTCATTCTGTTTGTTCCTTGCCGAACCCGTAATTCCTAGATCTATTCCAGATTATAATCTTTGCAATTGGTGAAAATTTAGTCTTTATTCCCGTTTGTGACACTGTGAAGGCCTAAAATACGGGAACCAATCAGAAATGGATTCACATTGGCTTGACTCTCAGTATAAAGGGACTCTAAATCACAGGAGCAAATTATTCGGAGGTGCGGGTGTATTTGGCAACGCTGTGCCGGGCCAGGATTATGAGAGTGACACGGTGACACACGACACTCGGGCGGGTTGCCGGTTGCGTCGGCAATGCCGGCGCGGCGCAGCGCGGCGTTTGATAGATCACCTCCGGTTTCCATGTGTGAAACACGTCTCTCGCCACTTCTGCCTCCCGCCCTCCCCCGCCTTTTCAAAAACCACGCATCTGCTCGGGAACTCCGGCGAGAGTTATGTGGTTCTCCCTGAACACGACGATCGATTCGGGGATGCGCTCCCGACGGAGAACCGCTTCCGAGGACCCGTCGTTTCGTCGGCACCTCGTGATCCTCGTGTCAGGGGCGAAACTAGCAGGTTGGCAACATCGCCCAGATAAGACAGAAATATTTAGCCACTATTTAAACAATATTGTTTTGATATTTATGCAAACATTGGGCCAATATTGGTTAAATATTGAGCCAATGTTAAAAGTGTACACCATATTCCCTTTTGGCATAAATACTGTGCCAATACTTTAAAATACTGTGAAATACTGTGTCAGTACTGTGAAAATATTTTTATACTATTTTGGGAAAACATATTATTTTTAAAAATACTAAATACAGATTCTTTGAATATTTTTCAAAAAAATAATTTTGATTAAAATATTATCAAAATATTGTCAGTATTATGTAAATATTGCGATAATACTGACAATATTTGCCCAATATTGTAAAAATAGTATGTCTTATCTGGGCGGAGTTTGTCGATTGAAATGTATAGAAAACTATCGATGCTAAAGGCTACCGCGCTTAAAATCAATATGTATGCTGCCGTGCTAAGGAAGAACGCCGTATGAACATTCGAGAGTTGCCAAATTTCCTTCGATAAAATGTTCATTATTTAGGAAAGTTATGAATATTTTCCCTTGAAATTTTCAGGAAATTTGGGTGAGATTACGTACAAAATTATCTGAAAAATCGAAGGGAAAATATTCGTAAGTTTACCAGGAAATTTGTGTTTTATCAAAGGAAATTTGGCAACACGTCGAGGTTCATACGGCGTTTTTCCTTAGCACGGCAGTATGATGGATTTAAACCGAGGCATCACGGATTTGGGGCCGTTCCTAAATTTCGTAACGCCATTGGGGTTTTTTGACACTCCCACCCACCTGCAACGATCCGTAACGCTGTGCTGGACCCCCCTATAAGCATTAAGTAACGCTTGCCCGGATCCCTCCCCCACTTCGATAAAATCATTTTTAAAAACTTGCATTCGTACTTTTTTCCTCCGCAGCTTAATTTTCAAGGCAACCGAGTTTCATTCGACGAAACGCCCATTTTTACCCGGTTTACTTGCGGAAATCTTCTTTCAACCCGAGATTTTGATATTTTTGAGGTCATTGAAGAATTCAGCACTACAAATTATAGAGGATTATCCCTTATTTTGAGTATTGGTCCATTTAATGGTCGCCAGATCTAAGAAAAAACGACGAACTCCCGCGATTTCTGCTACAGTGATAATTTGCTTCTCAATCAAAAAAATTGGTGTCATATAAGCTCATCTAAATATTACCTATTACCTGCTCAAAGCAGAGAAACAATAGAAATTGTCCTCGTAAATCTTTAAGCATGACAAAAGACTAACATTTCAGGCGCCGAAGTAACCTAAAGACGCCCGCCCCGGCCTAGCTCGGCCTTGCACCAAGTCGCATTTTGAAAAAAAAAAGTATTGAACTCAACTTTTCTTGAGCCTAGACAAAATATTTTGAAAACATGAAAATGGTTATCTAACTTTGTCCTTAATATCGAGTCCTCTTTAAGACTCCAAAGGACTCTATATTCTATAAAAGTGGGGGAAAAAAAATCTTGTGTGCATGTCAAATATCATTATCTCGCTTCATACTTACTTGATATGGCTTGGTGCGTTTCTGTCAAATTTTGTCAAGCTCATTCAGACATTATTACCTGCAACTAGTTAGAAAAAAATAGAAATTGGCCCCGTTGATATTTAGAAATGGCCAGGATGAAAATTCCTTTTCATCCTAATCATTGCCAAGTCTCAAAGTTTTTCGAAATTCATCAGAGAGCTTGAAGATGATGCCAGTGATTCTACGTGACGAATCCGAACCGAAAGGTCCTCTTTGCGGAGAATGTGGCGCGCCCGCGTTTGAATACCGATTGGACGGAATAATTTAGATTCAAGGGAAAACAATGAGAAAATTGGAAGAGAGTGATCTTACGAGCAACAACATTTTTTGAAATATGGAAACCTGAGATTGCCAACTCCGCCTTGTGCGGCGCGAGTAGAACACTGTTGCCAAACAGCCGAAAACTCGAGCATTATTTTTTCAGCTCATCTCGGTCAAGCGATGAATTCGAAGCTCTAAACTTCTGCTAAAATTTTTGACTGCGTTGCCAAGATCATGGAGCCACTACGTTCATAGCAAATTAACTAAAACTAAACTCTAAACTTTGGCGCATGCAAAAAATAAAAAAGAACAAGTACAGTCAGGTAATTTGGATGCGTCCTGCACTGGGAAAAACTTCAGTTTATAAGGGCCAAAATTCCGTTCATATGACACACCAAAGTTTCCATACATGGAGACATAGTTTCTCGTCCTATGAACCATACTTTCGGTCAGGTAAAGGAAGTCTTCAGTAAAAAATACGAGTCTAAGTGTCTGTGGCCAACGGAGCCTCTTCGAAAGCCTAGTTATCTGGACCAAAAGCTCTGATATTCAGTATGTGAACCTCTTTTTTTCTAAAAGCTCTCGGCGAAGCAAGGTTGGTTTGAGGTTTTTGCGCAGCGTGCTCTATGACTGTGTTTCTTTGGAAGTGCCACGCAATTATGGCGATAAAATTATCGATAATCGCGAAAATCTAATTTTCGTGATTTTGTCAGTAGATCACCACGAAGCATTTTTGAGCGAGAGTCTCGTAAAAATTCCTATCTTTCGAAAAACACACAAAACACGTCACTCCATAAACCTCGACGATGCCAATAATGAATGCGTAAACTTGTTGGCAGGTATCGCCCACTTCAGATCCGCCTTCAATCTCGCCACATAGGCAATAAACATACCGGGAAAGTGCTTGTTGACTATTCGTTAAATACACCTTTTGCGCTTCTGCAGGAATAGCTACGCCTACGGTCAGTGGCGTGACTGGGGGAAAAGGGTATAGAGGGACTGCCCCCCCCCACCCATGACCAGAAAACTTTCCAGATAAACTTCTTCAATTTTGGTGATTTGCAGAAATCTTTTTTATTCATAGACCCATATGAGACATTTTTGACAGAAGACCCTCCTCCTCTTCCAGAAACATTTCTGGTTTCGCCACTGCCCACGGTAATGCTGCCGTGCTAAGGAAAAACGCCGTATGAACATTCGATAGTTGTCAAATTGCTTCCGATAGGTAAAATGTTAATTTTGGAAGAAAGCTCTGCATATTTTTTCTTGAAAATTTCAGATGTTTTAGATTAAAGTGCGAAAAATATTGTCCAAAAAATTGGAAGAAAAATATTCAAAACTTCCCCAGTAAATTTGTACTTCATTAGAGGGCTACGCCTGAAGGTTCATACGGCGTTTTACCTTAAGGTTCAGTTACACGATCAAATTGAGCCATCAAACTGAAGCTCTGATTGGTGGGAAAAGACCGGAGGTGAGGATGCGACCAATGAGAGGCCCAATTTGATGGCTCAATTCGATCGTGTAACTGGACCTTTTGCACGGCAGAATGGTCCCTAGGGGTTTTCTAACGGTATGTGGTTTTGTTACAGGAGTTCCTCGGCGGACGGAGGCGGTGATAACGGCGGTGGAGGAGGCGTAGGCGGAGGCGGAGTGAGCGCGGGCGTGGTCGTAGGCGGAAGCGGGCGGCGGAGCGAGAGCAGCGGCGGAAGTGTGGTGGAACCTGCCGCATCGGGCGGCGCCCCGAGTCCCAGCTCGGATCCGAGCGACTCCTCGTCCGGTTCGCCGGGCCCCACGTCGGCCCAGCCGCCGGCCCCCGACCTCCATTTCCAGGCCCACCCGGTCTCAGGTAAGTCAATTAGCCTAATTGTCACCCCCCCCCCCCCCCCCCCCCCNCACCCCCACCCGCCCATTCGCCCCCAGAACACCCCGATTCAGATGCTCATTGGTTCCACCTGGAGCGCCTTAAAAAGAGGATGGACACAAGAGGATCCATTATTTACTGGCTCAGCTATTCTCGGTTTCATGACTTCATGAGGCAGTGTGAAAGAATGGAGGTGTTGCATGTGTGAGGAATTTGCGATTTGACTATTGACTCTCATGTACGAGGGTCATCCAAAAAGTAAAGTTCCCTACCTTGTATCTTCCGAGCGAAATAAGATAAATCAAATCGGTAAAAAAGTCAATATCACGCATACTCTAAGCTTTAAAACAAGCTCAAGTTCTTGAAAATCGGTCAAAGGATTCGGGAGTAAACTTAATTTTACGGAGACAACCTCCTGTCGCCGCGTGCCCACCTCTGGGGTCAGGATGCACGGAGAGTCGATTATTGAAGACTCGGGTTATCGCCTCTATACATCACATCAACAAGGAATTTTAAAGTTTTCATTGAGTAGGCCTTACCTTACTTTTTGACGTAGTCTCCACATCTTTTTTGACATTTCTGGTATCATTACAACAGCTTCTTGATGCCCTCCGCGTATAGAAGCTTTCGCCTTGACTCTGAAACCAGTCATTGACCAGTCATCTGTACCTCTGAATCGGTTGAAAATCGCTTCCATCGTGGAAGTTTTTCCGCTCAGGAACAAATGAAAGTCACATGAAGCTAAAGTAAGAGAGTTTGAAGGATTGGGGGAAAATTTTCCTACGCCAAGCAACTGATTTGGAAGTGCAGATCGCTGTCAATGACTATGGTTTTGAAGTCAAGGCGAAAGCTTCTACGTGGAGGGCATCAAGAAGCTGCTGTAATGATACCAGAAATGTCAAAAAAGATGTGGAGACTACGTCAAAAAGTAAGGTAAGGCCTACTCAATGAAAACTTTAAAATTCCTTGTTGATGTGATGTATAGAGGCGATAACCCGAGTCTTCAATAATCGACTCTCCGTGCCTCCTGACCCCGGAGGTGGGCACGCGGCGATAGGAGGTTATCTCTGTAAAATTAAGTTTACTCTCGAATCCTTTGACCGCTTTTCAAAAACTTGAGCTTGTTTTAAAGCTTAGAGTATGCGTGATATTGACTTTTTTACCGATTTAATTTATCTCGTTTCGCTCGGAAGATACAAGGTAGGGAACCTTACTTTTTGGATGACCCTCATAAAAGTTCGCAAGAAACACGATGGTGCCACCGGTTTTCTGTGAAATCAACTCCCAAGCTCAAAAAAAGCTCCCAAGTTGAGGCCAAAATGGAATGGGTATCGCACGCTTTCCTGAGAGTCCACGTCTACATTAAGACAAACTCTCCATGCGAAGATAGGGAGCAAAATACATTAGCAGGGTTGCCGTGTTTTCAGTTTTAGGAGTCCCCCAAATAAAGTGGCAGCCCTGTCAATGTATTTGCTCCCTATCAACGTGCTTTTCGTGCAATTTTTCACATACATCGTAGTTTTCCGCACGAAAGAACGTAACTACATTTCAATGTTGCCAAATTTCCTTTCGTAAATTGCATTTTAACCAGAAAAGTATTGGGCATTTCTAACTGAAAATTTCACTGATTTTTCTTCCGATTTCATGCAAAAATCAGACAAATTTGGATATAAATTGCACACTTACATTTTTGTAAAATAAATTAATTGTTGGAGTCAATTTGGCAACCTTGGATTGGAGTTACGTTCCTTCGTGCGGGAGACGACGACATGTAGAAAGGCTACTCATTCGGCCGTGCTTCCTGCGTGCAACGTACAGGCCCATTACTTTTTTAAAGCAGTTGTAATTTCAAATATGTTTGGGATAATTAAAATACAACATTTAAAAGAAAAAATATGATTCATAAATTGAAATTCAAACGTATTACATGAAAGTTCAAGGATTACTGACCAAATGATCTCGGAGATCTTTCCTCAAGGTGATGAACCGACGGCTATGTAATAACAAATCTCATGGATTTTTTCTCTCGCTGATCGAACTCTGGGTATTCTGCTTTTCAGGAGGAAGTGCCAGTTTAGTGGACAGTAATGCCGGAAATCCGTCCCTTATCCATTCGAATTTTTTGACCTCTGCTCCCAGCGGAACCACCCCATGGTCCCTTAGCTCACAGCAGTCTGATGGTAAGAATTTACTATTTTATCATCATTTCATCAACGTTTAAAAAAACTGTTAATTTCTTTCTTATTCAGAGGTCGCACAGGTATAATATGATGCATGTTTGAAAACAAGAGTACAAGTAGTAGCAATGGCACCAGGATTTTTGACTTGTCTCAGCCACAGGGAGTGTTAATGGGTCACTAAAGCTTGAGCTTTATATTTGATACTCTGAAAGTACCAGGTGAGTAGATTACGTAGTGATTTTTACTGCTGTTTTAGCAGAGACGGCGTCATCTTTTGCGCACTTACTGCCCTCTCTCAACTCACGTATTCTTTGTTATTAAGACTTTACTTACCTGTTTTGGTGGAATCATTCAGTTCATCTAAGGTAGATTCATAAAATTTTGAAGAAACTCGATTTCGACAATGTCGTTACTATACTCTCCTTGGTAACATGGCAGTATATTTAAAATGAACTCGACCTTCCTTCCTAAATCTATTTTCAATCATTAAGTCATTTTTTATTTCTTTTTCCATTATTTGTTCTAGTGAGTGATCTAGTTATTAAAAATGAGATGACGGATTGTTTGAACCAGCCTTTGGTCAATGACCAGCTCTTCTCAAGTTACTCGAATAGTCCCCTTAGCGCGCACCCGGAAATCAAAGACAGCTATCAGTATTCGCAATATTACAACAGGTAAGGACTCATTACCTCATTTATAAAGGTAAAATCTTTGTTTTAAATAACCTACTCATACTCATTCCTCAAGACTTATCCCTAAAGACTTGAAATTATGATAAGAAAAAAAAATTAAAAAATAATGATGATATTAGCAATAATTAGAGTGAGACCTTCGCTTCATGCCTTAAGTTCTTAAGTTGTTTTTATTACACTTAATTAAGTATGGTATAATATTTGAATAGAATGTCATGAGCACAGCGCTTCTTTTTCATGAGAAGTTCCTTCCCATGTTCGAAAAATACGACTTTTTACGCATACCAAGTGTGAACAGCTTGAGAAATACTTTCTTTTCAGCACTGAAAAACTTATTTTCAATGTTTCACGAATTTTCGTTTGTTTTTCCAGTATGCAGCAAGCGTATAGCAGTTCGAATTCAAATAATTATGGAAATGCAAGTGGCTTTTACAATACGCAGCCGTATGCCACGACATCATATCCTAATGTATCAAGTAAGTTACACACTAACCGCTTTAAAATGTAGTATAGTTATATTTTACGTTAATGTGCGGGACAATACGATTATAAATGATGACCCTTTCTCACAATCAGTATACTCTTAGATGAGCTTGAATGCAGACTCTACGTATTCTCTACAAATCGTCAGTATCCGATTTAAATCTTAGAAATTTTATTTCTCAGAAAAGTTCGAAACTCTTAGCAAGAATAAATAGACAAATATTCAGTGAAATGTTCCCATCATCTGAAATGTAACATTCCTAGATACCTGCAGTCCAGTGACAAATTTTACAACAAATAAGGACAGTGGCCCTCGAGAGTTTTAGAAAAATGGACCGGTAGACAAGATACGAATTTATGTTTCTTAGGGTGATCCGTCTCGGTTTCTGGCGTGCGGTATTCGACTAAGAAAGAAATACAAATCGCCCCAGGTAATCAAATTTTCACGGATTCGTGCCACGAAAATTACTGAAATTAACTCTTTACTATGATATAATTGTTTTTCAATCCATAAATTCAAACTTCCCTCTCAAAAAAAAAAAAAATAAATAAATAAATAAATAAATATATCTATTTAATGAGTCAAAACGCACACTAAACGTGCGGTTTAAAAATGTGACAACTTTAAACTGGGTACTTCGATTCAGGGTAGGGAAAGGGCATTCCCTATTGAGGAGTCTTGTTTTTCTTGTGACCGGGCAATTCAAAGTATTCCCATAACCAATAAACTAAAAACGTTAATATCTTCGTCAGAAGTCGACTTTCGTAGTTTCCGTTGCGCAACTTGTGTTTTACGTGCAGTTCTGGTTTAGAAACATGAATCAGAATGCTTCAATTCGTATCTTATAAACCCGTCAATTTGAATTTCCCGCGTTAAAAGTCCGACAATTTGGATTTCCCGCGAACTATGTGTATCTTTCACTAGCCAATTGTATCACAGTCATCAACCAATCACGATGTTTCCCGCTAAACTGTAATTCTGTTGCTAGCCAATTATATCACAGTCACCAACCAATCACGACTGAGTTTTGTTATCACCACATTTGTTTACTTCTTGCGGTGGAGGTTAGAATTGGGTTAGAAAGCAATTACATACTCTCTAATAACGAATCGCCCTCTTGCCTTTTGTGCTCAAATTGTCTTTCCCTCAAGATTTTCTTGGAAATCTGCTTTTGACTAACCAAGTGTACACCATTGTGAGTACTTTAAAAATTCGTAGCTTATCATTGTGGAGGGGGGAAAATGTAGATATCATGGTAACACGAAATCTATCTCTGACTGCGATGCCACTGTGGTGTACTATTTTTTAACTGACAATAAAGCCACCCAAGCATACAATCCATGTCAAATAAGTTGATACAAGTTTAGAGTAGACAGAAGATCACTATCTTCAGTTTAGTATTGAAATTAAATACAAGAATCGAGATGGAGGCAGGCCTGTCACATCTCTCATCTCGGGCCCTGGTACCAGATTATAGATCCGGGCCCTGACTAGTGTTTCATGTGAATTCGAAGTAGTGTGTCTTGGGCAGCATGGGCCCCTCCGGAGCCCGTGCCCTGGAACCAGGGACCCACTATCCCCCCCCTGTGGCGGGCTTGGATGGAGGACCTTTTGTTGCGCGCCAAAGCGGTGAATAAATTTACCTGGCACGGACCCTACTTTCAAGGATTTTCCATGTGTAGAGAATTTTCAGCATTTTTTGGTTTTCCTCATGAAAGGAAAGGCAGAGTAAACCATAAATCACTCATTTTTTCGCCATCGGTTGAGACATAACTTGCCTATTTTTGTTACAACTCCATGTACTTTGATCACTACCTGAAATCTCTGCAACTGTAATTCATCTGTCAAGGTTTTTTTCAAATTGTCTGTTTGTGCACCCACTGACTGAGCCAAATAAAGAACCCTCTGGAGATGACAGGAAGTCAATGTTTCTAATTGCATGGCCTGTTTGGTTTCAGACAATAGATCGATAAGTCAGTGCAATAAATCTTCTTCCTCCTCCTCATCAGCAATAAATAACAGCTCCAATGGTTTCCTCAACTATCCAGACTATTACAATCCTTATACAGCAACGTATACCCCTGGATATAGCTCCTCTTACCCGGCACAACAGGTACGTCAGACGATTATATCAGCATAAATTTTACCCTTGAAGTGAGACAAAACTTTAACTCAAGCGTATTAATAGTGAAACCACAAAAAGCAGTGAAGGACCATTAATTTGGGTTTCTGAAAAACCCATCCCTCTTTTTTTCATAGAATATTACTCACCTACCTCTGGGCCATTTTTGCATACAACTTTCAGAGAATATGCGTGGTAAGAGCAAGGAGGAAAAAATTCTCAATCTGTATACGATCTTATCAATGTATAAATAATACTAAGTAATCTCAATTTAATAAATCTTGCCACTCAAAATAATTAATGTATTATGAATGTTGCTAAAATTTACCCGACATCATTATAGCTATACACCTGCATAACATTCTAGTATTTAAAATGCAATATTCCCCTTAACAATTTTTGACGTAGAAACTATACCTAGGTCGAAAATAATGAGATCCTGCATAGTAGGTCAATTTTTTTGTTGATTCTATTGAAAATTGAAATGACTGAGTTCCAAACAATTTATTTTATAGGAATTTTCAAGTTATTCAAATGCATACGGACAGGTACAGGCAATGGCAAACTATTGTGCAGCTGCGTCGCAGGGATGCACTACATATCCTGGCTCTTTCAACACGTCACCGTATTCTTTAGCAGCTCCTTTAGCAGGTAAAAGTCATTTTTAATCTCCTTGCATCAGCATCTCACAAGCTCTGAATCCTACTAACTAACCCGTTTCACTTAAGTCTCCTGTCAGGAATAAGATTGACCAAAGTTTTACGGTAGCAGCCAAGCAGAGAATTTATTACAAAAAAGCATTTAGCTTCATGACCACTTTAACTCCAGCATGGAGTTTATGCAACTCAATGCTCCCGAATTTCCTTCAAATCAATTGGCAAGTGTTCAATTTTGACTGATATGAACAGTCGATTGATTAATATCTGTAGTGTGCATACAGGCAGCATCCCCTTGGTTGCTATCAGTTGATAATATCCACACTCACACTATCATGTATAGATGATCATATAAGTACTATTGATTGTGAGCATTCATCTATGCATAATAAGCCGTCGCCTGGAAGGGAATCTTTATCCACAGTAACAAAATTCTCAGTGAAGCGGTTTTTTGAGTGGATTTGAAAAATTGGATTTCGATATTTTGAAGGAAAAATGTCTTCAGTGTTAGTTTCCCCAAGAATAGGTTGCAAGTAGTCTTGGTTATTATTGTGCTTTAAGAGGGCTTAACAGTTGCATTATATCTGTACATCCGTACATCGTACATTGTATCCAGACATCCGTAGTGACATCAAATGTTAGATTGACTTCCTTCGACTGCTAAAAAAAACCCTTTAATGGAAGGTAGGAGGGGATTTGACATGCAGGCAAGGAGGGTTAAATGAATAAGATGAAAATCCGAACATTATTAATGGACAGATCTTCAGTGATGCACACTTTTGCACTATTTGCTCAGCATACATGATCAATGAAGGCTGGATAAACTTAAACAAGCAAAACTAGAGTAGGCGAAATCATTACTTTCGTTTTGAAAGGGGACATACTCAACCATGTTGGATGTAGAAACTGATTGTCCTTCAAGAAATTTTAGGTTCACTTGATTTCTTTTAGTAAACACTTTTGTTATTTTCTTTTGTAGATAGCCAATTACCTTCTGAACCGTCATCTCCCATTAAAATTGACACTGGTCGCAGAATTAGTCTTGATACAAGTGAGTTAAATTTTTTATTTTTTAGGAGCTTAAAAATCATCCAAGCCATAATCTCCTTTCCTACCTCCAAAATTCATTCCTATTTTTTGTGATTGCCGAGATTTTAAGAGTGAGCTCAGCCATCAACCTTGGCAACAATGAGCCACTAGATGAGGTCTAAGGTAGAAGAAAACGTCACATGTTCTCTCTTCAAAATCTTATATAGAACACAATGTGCACAACATGAAGTTTTATATCAACTCTTGAATGAGTCATTACCAAGTCTTTTTAACACAGATCAAATGAAAGTTTCATCATACAAATGACATCATTTTGCCATTTAACCAATTTTAATAGTATTAACACTTATACAGTTACAACTTCTTGTTCGAAAATTGATTTTCAGACTTCTCTCCGTGTGATTCGTTTTCCTTGTGAAATTTTAAAGAGAAAACAGGTGATGTTGTGCTTTAATTCATGACTTGTCCAAAGGCCCATTATTGCCAACATTCAGATGCTATTACTCCTTTGTAAAAATGATTTTTCAAATCCTATTGGGTCTGTTGCACACAAGAGTTACAGGCAAGTGAATAGACTATTTGAATGTGAAAGCGTTGAAAAATGAAGATGGACACATAAAAAAAGTCTGAAATGCACTCCTAGCTGCATGATCTGCACTAATCGAGTCAAACATCAAAATTTCTAAAACTCATAATTTCACTCCGTTAGGAATATGGAAGGATAATTATTCCATGACTTACCCACTTTTAAAAGTGTCTGACTTTCAGTGCATCATCTCCTACATATCTATCCTATTTATTTATTATTTTTTTTTTTCGAAAATAAAAAAGCAACCATAAAAATATCCATCTAATGATTTATTAATATTTTTTTAAAAAATTAAGAATAAAGTTTCGGAATGTTTCTATCAAACATATTGGCGGATATTCTTTACAAAAATTAAAATGTACCAGTAGCTGAAATGTCGCATTAGAGGTGAATAGAGTTTTGGAGCAAGCCATCCTTCTGCCAATAGTGATTCCATTTCAGAGTGCAGTTGTGAGAAAGGGCTCTTTAAAAAAAAATGAATAAATACATAATTAGCGTTCTCAGTGAAATAATAGGTTTTTGGAGTTTTGGTGTTCATTGAATGAAAAGTAAACTTAAAATTTTAATAAAAAATAAATAAAACAAGATAAGATAATAAAAATATAAATCTTAATAATCCAAACTTGATAAAATTGATAGTGTATCATTTTACTCACCTGCTAAATACCAATATAGCAAAAAAAAAAAGCTGTAAATAAAAATAAACTGCCAAAATCGAAATTAAGATTATTAATAAAACACATAAAAAGCACATAAGTCTTGACCTGTTTAAAATAAGTTTAGTAATTCTTGTAATAGAATTAATCAAATTTAAGGCGATCAAGAGAGGTCATGGACTATGTTTTACTAAATGGAAAAATAAAAAAAATGAATAAATACATAAAATCATATTAGCAATAGTATTATATTTACTAAATTTACTAATTTTACTCATTTACTAAATTTTTATGTTTCTGGTTCAGTTAATTTTGTTTCTTTTTGAGTTTTTTGTTTGTTTTATTCAAGCTTTTGTATTTTCCGTTTTATTAACTCTTTATTCTAGTGAAATTTAAAGTTTAGTTTATCTTAGTTTATCTTAGTTTATCTCGTCTTATCTTTCTCCGACTCGGTTTATTATCATTGTGTATATACTTCTTATTACTGATTTTTTGTTTTGGTAAAACATAATTAGTCTAAATGAAGTTATTCCTAATCCTTCTCACCCTATAATTAATGTTACTATGTTTGGACCCAAACAATCCTGGCTTAGTTTTATTCTTTAAGCACATTTGTCTTTTTTGCCATGAAAAAAGCATAATGATTTTCTAGTTGAGTGTGGATAAAGAGAAAGTATAGTTTGATCAAGGATGTAGGCGGAAAAATGACATGAGTTGCAAATTGACCTCTTTAAGATAACTGTGTTCTAAGTTTCAAAATGTTGCCAAGCATAGTCCATGAAACCTAAAACCCCAAGAATTCCAAGAGGAAAGTATTATTGTATCCGCAAGAATAGTCATATTAATATTATGAAAATACATATTATCATGCTGTTGAAATAAATTGTATACCTCTATGATGAAGACATCTTTCTCTGGAAAACTATCATTGCTAAGCAGACAGATTAGTTGATTCTGTAAAGAAACTTAAACTGAGTTCAGTCGGAAAAAAATCAACGTTTCAAAAAATACTACAAGAAGAATATGAACTGAATTAAAATGAATTAATTTCATCATGCTGCCTCCTCTTCAAGCACTTTCTCCTCTCAGAGTTCCGATTTTCCGAGTTTCTCCCAATTCATGACTCGCCCCTGCATTCAAATACTTTTCTGTTAGCAGAGACTGGCTCATTCGATGATGTTTCTTCAAACAATTCAATTTTAGGCCCGTCAGGAATGGCGACAGAATCTAATATCCGCCAGCCTGCTTGCCCTAATTTTATTAAAGAAAGAAGTCCTTGTTGTTGTAAGGCGATTTTCCTTCAGAACTAATCCCAGTTAATGCTCAAAAATTGTGTGAGGTCATAAAATTTTGTGCGGTAATACTTAGGCGTATGCTTAATGCAGAAGATAGTCCGTCAGAAAAATGGCGCACTTAACCCCCTTCGTACTGTTTTTCCATATGAATAGCTCCTCAAATCGTAGTACGCTTGTCAAATAACTTGGCTCAATTTCTTATGTTTTGTAGATAAATGCAGCCGTGGAAGGGGGCGAAAGCTAGTTTCCTCAACAGGGGCTCTGGCAACTCCTGTCTCACCTGGGCCAACATCAGAGCATGGTCTTGATCGAGTTTTCATATGGGACTTGGATGAGACCATCATAATTTTCCACTCTCTTTTAACCAAACATTTTGCTGAAAAATACTCCAAGGTAACATTTCCAACTTTAATGCTATTCATTTCAAACATATATTAAAATTTGTCTGTCTGACAGTGAAACTGCTGAAAAAAATTTTTGGAACATTTTACTTGGAGCACTGACAGCAAATAAAGATTTAGAAAAACAAGGAAAGATGTGAACTTTTTGGCAAATTCCTGGATGAAAAGTGCATGAAAGTGCGGCCCTTGAGTTGTGTAAGTTAGACAAAAGGCTGCTTAACGATCCATCGAAGGCAATATGTTAGAGCACTTCAGAAAACTTGTTGCATTGGCATCAGTCACGAACTTGCACACCTTCAGTGCTATAACTGAAAGAAAAAAATCATTTTTGTCAAGTAATACAGTTTATCACTTTCACTTTAACTGCTCAAGAAGTAAAGGCTGAAACAATGTGAACTGTTGTTTGAAGTTGCTCTATGGTGTGTTTCCAAAGCTGAATTTTTTTCTCTCTCGACACTTTGAAAGCTTTGCCATTGTTTTGAAATGTTTTAAAATAAGCTAAAATACACATTCTTAAACGTCTTAGTTTAAGTAACTATTTTAGTTCAATTGAGGAAAAAAAGAACTACATACAAAAATTTAAAAAAAAAAAAAAAAAAAAAAAAAACCCTTTTGTTACATTCAGTTCTATTGTTTGGTATGTTACCCACTCCAGATAAATACCTATAACTTTTCCTTTGCTTTATTTCAGGACCCACAAGCGACAGCTGAGCTTGGACAAAGTATGGAAAATTTAATATATCATTTGACTGATACTCACCTATTTTATAATGACCTTGAGGTAGGTGAATGAATTTAATCATGAATTAGTTGTTTAAAAAGTGACTGCACTAAGAGTACTTATTAAATTGACTTTTTGGGGGAAAAATCTATTTCAGGGATGAAATCATTTTAGGAAAATAAGTATTAAAGAGATATATTGTAACCAGAGTTTTCTGTATTCTCTCAATATTTTTCCGTATCCTTAAATTAAATGATTCCCTCATACCTAATACTAATAGTGAAAAATGGGAAAAAGCGGCCTTTTGCCTCCACTTACTCTATTATTTATTTAAAGTAAGGTTTTGCTCTTTATCTACTCAAGTATGTTGGTTAGAGTTGCCCGGATTGCAATCCGGGGATTGAATCCTGTCAATCCTGTCCTGCTAATGATTCTTTTGTTTTGATTTTTTCAAATTTTTTCAGGAATGTGATCAGGTACATGTCGATGATGTAGCCTCTGATGATAATGGCCATGACCTCTCAACGTACAATTTTGCCGGTGACGGATTTCGAGCCACCTCCCCTCCAAACAGCAGTCTATGTCTGGCGACGGGTGTTCGAGGGGGAGTCGACTGGATGAGGAAACTTGCATTCCGATACAGAAAAATCAAAGATTTCTACAACACTTACCGGAGTTCAATAGCCAGTATGTCCTTCCAGATGTTGATATCTCTTAAGTACTTCAGCACCAGTTAGGGACTGTCAGCACAGCCCGTTTATTGAGTTACCACCAATATAACCCCTTTAACAAATTCACCCTTGGTATGGGTGTCCCCTTGGGTGATTTTGAAACTCTTTTCACTCTGTGCTTTGCTGATGACCAGGTTGTGGTTGCTCAAGATCAAGATGACGCGGAGTACATGATGCGCAAGTTAGTAGAAGAATATCGGAAGTGGGGTTTGGAAGTCAGCATATCCAAATCTGAAAAGATGACTTTTGGCGGTGATCAGCAAAGCATTGAGTTGGAGGATGGGCAGCAGATCAAAGGCTGCGAGCACTTTAAGTACTTGGGAGTGCGGTTGACCCAGGATGGAAGGACGGATCAAGCTATCAGGGAAAGGAACACCTTAGTAAGGAAGGCTATAGCGATGTTAAATGGAATCCTCTGGAATCAGCGGATTTCCAAAGATAACAAGAGGAGGATATACAACGCTGTAGTCAAAAGTATATTAACATACGGATGTCAAGTTTGGCAGCTGAAGAAAGGGACACAGGATATACTAAGAGCAACGGAGATGGATTTCTGGAGAAGGTCGGGTCCGTAATGATAGAGTGCGTCAGATAATGGAAGTCGAAAATGACATCGTGTTCGACGTCATGACGAAACAACTTGTTTGGTATGGTCATGTCAATAGGATGACTGAAGAGAGGCTGTCAAAAAAGATGCTTGATTGGGTTCCTCCTGGGAGGAGACGTAGGGGACGCCCAGTGAGAGGTTGGCGACAGGGGGTGTTGAGTGAGATGAGGTAGTGTCAACTCCCTGATGACCTGTGGGAAGACCGAGCTTTGTGGCGATTAGGCGTCGTAAAGCGCCAAAGAGCGCTGTAAAAGGCACTCATATGTACGTAACAAATTCACTACAAAGAAACAAATGTTCAAGAAAAATTGTTTTGATAACTCTTATGCTTCTCTTATTCTGTCAAAAATTAACATGTATAATTAAGATGAAGGAGTAAGCTTTTATTTGCTCAATCAGCTACCATGGTGGAACTTCGAAAAGCTTTTATGGCATTGATGACTCACTGGTGTTCTTCAACTCTCATTAAAAGTTGTATCCAAAATTCAATTATTAGGCTGGGAAATGAAAAATGACTTTCTCTAAAGGGCACACTGAAACTAAAGTTCTATTGTGGAAGTCTGAAACTATGAAACTTTAAATACAATTGAAAATAACAAGGGTGTATCTCTTTTTCCAGGCGTCCTCACGCCAGACCAGCGGAATCGCTGGCTGCAGCTCAGAAGTGATATTGAAGCACTTACAGACAACTGGTCAACACAAGCGGCAAAATGTCTTTCTCTTATTCATTCCCGGTACTTAAAACATTTCCTATTTCTTTATATTAATCCTAGATTTAAAGATGTAAATTATATGACTTTCCTCTAAATTAAGTAGTGGGTTGTAAGAATGAGTGAAGTGGTCCAACTGTACCACAGAAAAAATTGAACTTCTATTTCATTGCGAAAATAACAAGAAATGAAGGTCACAAAAGCTGTAATTGCTGTTATCAGTTATTGCATATCTCAATCAGAGAAGTAGAAAAAAATAAAAAGAATTCTTTAAAGTTGATAGGATAGAAGTAAAGTTTAATGTGCTTCTGTGAAATCGGTCAAAAATTCACATGAGACTCCTTTTTATTTATTTATTTATTTTTTTTTTTTATGTCAAAAATTCTTCAATTATTTTACTTACTTTTTCAAACACTGATACTTAGTTACAGAAAAATTAAGTTATTTAATTTAAACCAATTTAATTTAAGCTTAATATGATACCGGTATGATAAGCTCATAAAATTTAACTGAACTCAAATTTTACCGATAACAAAAGAAATACTATATTATTCTATCTCTTCTCTCTTACTAATGATGAATGTATATATTATTCTATCTCTTCTTCTCTCTTACTAATGATTACTATATGTATATTAGTCTATCTCTTCTTCTCTCTTATTTATATCTTTGTCTTGTAAATTCTCTATTTTTCAGGCCAAATTGTGTAAATATTCTTGTAACTAGTACTCAATTAGTTCCTGCTCTGGCCAAAGTTTTACTTTACGAACTGGGCGAAATATTTCAAGTTGAAAATATTTATTCAGCAGCTAAAGTCGGTAAGACCTGCCATACAAATTTATTATTCCATTTCAAATAATCCAAAAAACCTGAATCCAGGGCCACGTCTAAATTTTAAATGCTCCTTCAAAACTGCAGAGAAATAATCAGTCTTAGATTTACCATGAGATTAACTAAATCCGTCTCCTAAGAGTAAACACCTCTCTTAAGAGTAAATACTTAGTTTAGACGGTGTGATTTTTTCTAATGAGAAATCAGTTCTTTGTTTCCGACCAAATTTGCGTGAGCATTATGGGGAGAGATGAGGAAAGATAGTAATAGAATAGTAAATTGTAAATATATGCAGTTATTGTGTGAGGCACGTGATTATACCAGCCAATACTGAATGGAATGAAAGGTATATCCTGTGAATAGGATCTTGAAGGAACCTCAGTGCTTCAATACCATTCTGCCTGAAGTATTTGAAGAGGAAGTGTTCGTTGAATGGAACAAAAGAAGCAAGAAGTGCAGTAGACTGAATGGACTATACCCGATAAAAGAAGGGCCAAAATATGAAGCATTCAAGAATAAGGTGGACAGGGTATTAGTTCTTTAAACATAGGTAAAAAAAGTTGATCGGTTCGGAATGGTAGAGGGCCTCACTTCTTCTGTTTAAATTGTCAAAGCATTTGCAAAATGCAATGAGCTTAACTTGATGATAGTTGATAGAATATGAGCTGTTCTTTTGACTGCAACCCCAATCAGCTTGCTATCTGCATTAGTTTTGAAGATATGGATTCAGTCCTGGTACTCTTGGGAAATCCTATGTATCAGCCTCTTAGGGGGGCCGTTGGCAAAATTTATATTTTTGATTGAAATTCATTTATATATCATAAGACCATCTGACAAGTTAAGGTTAACATGCAAATATTAGTTAAGGCATCCATAGAATGACAGAGCAAAATAGGGTAAATCAAGATGTGAAAAATGTTACCTAAAATAGGAAAAAGTGGGCAATCGTTTGAAATAACTCAATCATGACAGCCAAGTCATTTCAATAATTTAATTTAATTTTGACTAATGAAAACAAAACTTTATCCTGGTGATCTTTATTAAAACTTTATCTTTTCTTATGGTGATCAAATATACGAAGCCTCAATTTTATATACTTCCCAAAATTGTATGCCTCCCAGTTAAAATGCTTAATTATTTTAACCTCCTCAAGCAACATTTTTCAAGTATTGTTAGAGTGTTTTTTTTTTTTCCCATAGCCAATGGCTGAAATATTTTTTCACAGCCTTAAATGTGTGAACGAAATAATTTTGATCATTTCAGGCAAACAAAACTGTTTTGAAAGGATTGTTGCCAAGTTTGGACAAGAATGCACATATGTTGTGGTTGGTGATGGAGACGAAGAGGAAGTAGCCGCAAAGAAGGTATGTATTTATCATCAAAACCAACTTAATCAAACTTTGATAGGCATAGTTGAATAAATACTCAACATTATATTTTGATTTTTTACCTATTCAGAACCACACTTGAACCAAAAGTTGAAAGTGAAGGAAATTGTGATGCCGAATTTAATTTTTACAATTTTATTTTACTCAAGATTTTAAATTTCTTGCATGCTCAATCTTATTGAACAGCATCACAATTCAACCAAATAAAATCTAATAAATTACCACCAAGAAAAAGAATCAGAAAGATTGCCCTTAAAAATCTAGCTTTTATTCAAATTGATTTATCCAATGAGGCTCCTAAATAAATTCAGCTCCATTTTTTTTTTTTTCAGCACAACTATCCATTTTGGAAAATTTCAAGCCACAGCGACATCATTGCTCTTTACAATGCACTAGACTTAAAATACTTGTAAATATCCTTTCACGAATATTTAGCTTCTTCAAGCTCTTTTTGTACAAATGTTTAGTCTGAATGTTAACCTTTTATATTTTTTTCCTCCTTTCTTTTGAGAAAACGATAGTTCTTGAACTGGAGGTTATCTGTTCTCCTTTTAAAGTACATATTTGAAACCAAAAATTCTTCAAACTTTCCTTCACCATTGTAAATTAAGTTCTCACCTTTGTTTTATTTGTTTCCCCCCCTCTTTGAATGTTCAGGTTAATTGTTATTTTTGTCAATCACCATCTAAATCATAAGATGAAGAAATAAAAACAGAAAGCCCTTTTTATGATATAAATCAGAGTCAAATTGAATAACTACGCACCATTGCCTTGATACATTTTTCAAGATGCATTGAGGCTGATTCTTTAAGCCTTTGGCACACTTTAAAATAGTTGAGGCTTTTGATGGGAAGCTCAAGATGAAAGCCTTCCTGTCTATATTTTCCTTTTCCCGATTGAGTATAGCCTGCGAGGCAACAATGAAAGCACCTCAAACGGAAGAGGTTCTGTAGAATCCTCCTCCAACCCCGAGAAAAGACTTTCCTCATACGTATTTCCCTTTCTCTCACTTTTTATCGGATTACGGGAAATGAAATCATTCTACCACTGTCCTCCCTCCTTTCATGAAAACAGACATCCATTTCTAAATTTTTGCCTGTGAAACATCCCTCTGTGTCAGTTATGAGTTGAGGATTTAAAAATGCTGCTCCCATATACATGTGGGTCCATCTTTTTCCCCTGGATTCTTGACTGTAAGTAAACCTGATATCAAAGAACTACTCGACTTCATCACCAATAACAGGCTAAGCGCAAGATTAAAACTAATTGACCACAAAACTTGAAATTTTTTCTGGGCACTAAAGACAATATTCTGCATAAGGGGATAAGTGCTACTAACACTAGAGTAGTGTGTATAATATCCAAACACAGTATCATGTGGTAAGTGCCGCAGTAGGTATAAGGAATGAAAAAGTTAATAGCTCGAAATAATTTTTTTTTTAACTTAGCCCGTTCTTGATGATGCAACCATTGTCATTTGGTACCTAAATGTACCTACCTAAGTACATATTCTCACCAATCAATTTATTTTAACCAACTAATGCATTCAAATGCAGCAAAATAATTTCCAATTTTTCATTTTATTTTAATGTTCTGCAAGTTTCTTCGAAATAACATCATTGTTGCGGTGAACCGCCCCCATCCCCTTCACAGAACAAAGAACCCCGAAAAATGCTTCTCATTTTGTCTCAAATGTTTTCCTGAAACTTCAATTCATTCTCTTTTTTTGATGTAATGGCAGTGTAAATCCTTTTACTGTAATATACATTGTATGCTAGAAAAATTCCTAGAATAAATTTTATTATCACAGTCAAAGCAATTATTCTCATCTCGGTCACCAATTTATTCTCAAGTAGTGAATCAGTAAAGCTTGCTCAGCCATTCCTCAAAAGAGGTTTGTGCAAAAGCAGTGATTTACTCATATCCCCGAATCTTCCTCAAAATGTTGAATGTTGTTCTCTAGTTAGTGACTTATTTTATCCTGAAGGTTTCATACACTAGGAAATTTGCCTTTTGCTTAGAAGGGTTGCCAATTCGAACCCCTCCAAATTGCTTAGCTTGCTCATAAATTGGATGTGTAGTGTTTATGCCGAAAAAACCTACATGGCATGCAAAGCCTATGCACATAGTTTCTTTTAGCAGAAATACTTCCAATTGAGGTATCAAATTGCTATCTACGCTAAAATATTTGTATAAATTGAAGGAATTCAAATTAATTGGAGTGATCTAAGTTTGATTTACACCAGTTCCATCAGAGGTATGAGGCTTCAAATCAGTGACAAAACTTAATTTATTCAAAAACTTACATTCTTTTGATAGCAAAAAGATTTCAGTTTTATTGACGCAAGAGAGGAATAGCAGGTAAACAAATTAAAGTTCCATATTGAAGTTATCAACAATATAAAGAATATTAGATTATGATGAGGTCGTTTCAGTACTTTTTCCAAATGCAAGCATTTTTTAACATCAAATCTATTGCAGGACAAGGATGGAGTTTAGTCAAACCTTCCATCTGCCTTGAGTTTTCGTGTTTTTGGAAAATCAAATGGAGAAAATGTTAGTATGGCTTGAAGTGAATTTTTGCTCTTCAAGTGGTTAACAATTGAAAGCTGTTTAAAGCCAAAAGAAAGGTGTGACCAAACACTTTTTGTTTGTTTTTTAAGTGATACTTCATCTTAATCGTTTGAATTAGATTCTGCTTTTTGGAACTTTTCTGGGAGTTTTGATGATGTACAAGCCTTAATCATTTACAATTGATATTTATTTCATCTTTTTCCAAGAAAATTAAGAGGAAATCTCTTAGTTGCAAGTGGAAAAAGTAGAAAAAAAGACCTGTGGATAACATTTTCACAGATTGGTAACCACTAATTTATTATTAAGTGAGAGGTACATAGTACACATATTGATAAGGAACAAATTTGACACAAAGGATTGTGTGAGAAAGCGGCAACTCACTCATGAAAGGCCAGAGTACTACAAGAAAAGAGGAGATTCAATACACGTACAATAGGCACCTACTTGAGTATTGGGTAGTAACGTAAGTCAGACGGCCAAAAACTCCATTGAATGGCAGTTAAAGGATTGCCCTCAGTCCATGATTTGTTTGCGAGTCGAAGTTCTAGGATAAAATAATTACAGATACTGAGACCAGAAAATGCAAGCAGATACTTGGAAAAAGTAATGAGTGTTGAATTACAGGCTATTACTTTAAGTTTCTATTACATTTAGCTTAGACTTGTGCGGTTTTGTTGCTCTGCTTGAATCAGGGCCGGATTAAGGGGGTGGCCACATGGGCCGCGGTCCATGGCGGCAAATCTACAGCGGGCGGCAAATTTTGCAATTTTTTGAAATGTAGGTATAAAAAAATCGGATTTAGAAAAAAAAATTACAAACAAGAGAAGGCGACAAAATCTCTCATTTCCTGAGAGTATAATAATTTCTAATTTTGTCGTCTTTCAGAGATAAAAGAGACAGCACCTTTAATTATTCAAGTTAAGAGAGAAACCAAATAGTTAAAACACGCAATTTGGCCTGGAACGGTGCGACTTACAGAGTGATGACGAGGACTTGAGATGAAAAGGAGAAGCCCTCGGCGCGGCGATCGGCATAAAACACATATTAGCGCCTACAAGACTGCACGAATACTTCACGCATTGCATCAAACAGAGTGCGGTCACTGCGATCAGCGTAAAACGGATAGCGCCTACGAGACTGCGTGAATACTTCACGCATTGCGTCAAACGCAGTGCGTTCAGCAGCGGTCGGCGTGAAACTCACAGCGCCTATAAGACTGTCGGAATACTTCACGCATTGCGCCAAACACGGTGCGGTCAGCGCGGCGCGGCGGCGGAAGTTATAATCATTAATCCACATTTATGTTTGTTCTTTCATAATTTTTTCGTTCATTTCTTATGAATGGAAGGCCTTGTCCACGCAAAGATAGGTTTACGAAACTTATTTTTCGCACAAAGTTCCGTGAACTTTTGCTAGTAGTGTTGACGGGGCTTTCGTAAAAAATGTGTCCAACACGAGTAAACGCGTCTTACGCACCCCTCTCCCGCTGGCACGTTCATTTGATGGTTTTTATTGATATTTCAAAACGAATGAGAAGGGGGTGGCAAAATACAGGCGGCCCATGGGCGGCAAGTAGGTAAATCCGACCCTGGCTTGAATCATAAGTCCAGGTATGAAAATATGTCTGGAGGTGGCATAGTATTGTTATTTTGTGATGAGGATTTGATCAGACCTACAATTTTACTAACAGAAAAGAGAACCGTATTCAAACCAAATAAAATATGTATTTAACAAAAACATTGGCATCAAGACTGTGGACACTTAAATAAACTTCTACTTGGTAACTAATCCGTGGACTAAAACTGGAAATAAAACCTAAAAACAGTTTGAAGAAAAACTCATGGTGTTCATCCTCAATTTCTTGAAAAAAAGTTTAGAATCCAAATGTTCAAATCCGAGTAATTTAGGTAATTAAGGGCAGTTTTATCCTAAGATTGGTATGCATTTAAATCAAAAGGAACTACCTCCATTGTGACATGGGCCCTGTCATGCACGTATTGTTATGGGTGCCAGGGGCTTACTTACATCACAATGGAACTGTCAATTAATTGTATCCATTAAACCTCAGGTTTGTAAAATTTTCATTCTTTATCAGGTTTATTTAGAAGTGCCTTTACAAGATGTAGTTTACGACTGAGACATTCATTAAAAATTAATCATACATGTAGAAAGTGTTGAGTTGCCAAAATTACAAATAGGTACCTAGATTGAAGAGAGATGAACATCATTTGAAGAAATTCTAAGTACGTACTTACTTCTCTATAGGTGTGGATATATACAACCAGAGTCGTATAAAAGTTGCTTTATTTACAACAAAAGAAACAAGAATCTGCTTCTTTAAATTTTACTAACTCAGCCTGGACATTCCACCATGATTTAGATACATAAGTGCCACGAACATTGGGTTGCGATGGCCCATGTTAGGAATCCTAACTGAGCAGAAAAGTCTTTAGTGAGAATTAGTGATAGGAGCGAGAGGATACAACTTGTCCGCTTCAGTGGATTTCAGTTTTCAGCGATTGAATTAAAATGATCTACTCTAGGGTTTAGCTTCGGTCGAGTTGGTGTTCAATATATTATACGAATATAATTCACAACATTAAGCAACTGGAGAGCCTTTACAATGCAGAGTGAGCCCATATCAGTAACCTGTGCTGCTCTTTGATTGACTCCGCCAGTTTAAATCGTTATGAACTTGCACCGCCTCAAATCAGATGCGCCATTCCGGCCAAGTAGCCGGGTGCTACGAAAATATTGATATAATTTTGCAACCTAATGTAATAAAATTGCATTCTTTTAACGTGAAATTGCAATACTTTTACATAAATTGATTACTAAACTCCGATTTTAAACGAGCCGAACGATATGAAATGAGTTTCATTAAGGAGGAAGGTAAGCAGTGTGCGATAAAAAGAAATTGCAACTCACTTCAATTTTACTGCAATTTGCAATGAGAGGAGCCCCTTTAATTGGTGAATAGACAACATACACAGCACTTAGATACAATAGTATCAAGTTCGTTGGTGTAATTTCAATAGCTTGTAACTTGTGTTACTTGGATGTCAGAGGGGAGGGGGCGGCTAAAAATAGTTAGAAGAGTCATTTATATAGAGTGTATTATTTCCAAAATAAAAACAAAGCCCTAAATTAAAAAATTGTTCCAAAAGGGATCAAATTTAAAATACTGCAAAGAGCACTTCAGCCGCCCCTCTCCTCCCTGCTACCCCATATTTGCGCCCCCAGGGTGAGTTGACAAACGCAGAATGATGACTGCCGGCTTTTGAGCTCATGCAGTATAGAGAGCAAGCCATGCACTCAGGAGGAGGAGAGAGAATTTGTAATGGAGCCAGGGAAAAAGTTATTGAAGATAAAATTTAACAATTTTTAATGTTTCTAGTAAAAAAACATAATTCAAATTCATTTTATCATTTGCATGTTTGAGGGAAAAATGTTTTGAAGTATCATAATAATAATAGAAAAATGTTCTTCAGGCAATTTTAGAAACAAACTTCGGAATTCTTAACTCTGGAAACCCTTTTTTTAGAACATTAAAATAAGTTTTTTGAAAAATCCATTTCTCAAAGCAATTTTTAAGAGTAACGAACAAAAGGTTCTTTTAACATATACCTACATTCCAAAAATGTTCTTGAGAAACTTTTGAAAGTGTTTTCAAAATTTTTAAAAAGTAATACTTCCAAAGTTTAAATTTTTTTAAAGTACTTTTGAACTCTTTCAAAACCGCATATCGACGGTGAAACTGCCAGACCACGTTTCTCGTTGGCGGTGTTTAAAATCTCCACTTTTTAAAATTTTTTTGACGGAGAACAAAACAATATAATTTCTTGAAATTTCCGCAAAGTTTTCTTCGCACAGAGGAGAAAAAATACGGAAGTTTTCATGAAATAGCTTTGGGTAGTTTTCCATCTCAAAAATACAGTACCTATGACAGGAAATCTACAGCGTCGCAAACCGAAATACGAGGCCTGGTACTTTCATTGTCGATATACGTCACCGTATGTAACCCAACTCCTTAAGTTTCTACGTCATATTAGGTGTGGTTCAGTCTTTTCCTGATCAAAAGAAACTCACCTGCTCAACAAAAATATGAAGGCGTTTCTGCAGTTAAAACTTCTGTAGTAAGGGTAAAAATTTGCTTTCAGAGAAGTCTTAAAGAACCTCTTAGCGTTCAGGGAGAATAACAAGGTCATATTTCGCCTTCGTCCTCCCCCTAACTCCAGCAGACGAAACAGCGCGACGAAAAGAGGAAACGTTCTAAAACTAGAAGCAGCGCAGGTCGTTATTGCGAATCATTAACAAATGGACCGAGTTTATAATAGAAAGGAACCAAGCCACATCACCTATTGCCGGGCAATTTGATTTTTTACGAGCGAACGTTTGAGCGGATTCCTTTGAAACTTTGAGAGAATTTGCCTCCTACCTACTACCTATGCAAAAAATTTACAGACATTTGCATGAAAATCCGCACAACCGTTTTCATGTAAAAAATTGAATTGCCCGATTAAATTTGGCAACAGCTGATGTGGCTTGGTTCCTTTCTGTTTGACGCGGTCCAAATGACCTTGATCAGATAGGGATGTATCGATCAAGGTCCTTGGATAACGATTCAAGGATCCTGGTCCAGGCTCGGCGGGCCCGAGTTGGAGTCTGAGGCGGAAGCACGGAGAGAGAAGTGGACTAGATGACGTCACTAGGTGGCCGGTCGTTGGGGCGACGGCGGGCTTCACGTGCCATCCTGGGCGTTGGAGGCCTCGATGTCGGCCATGCCGGCGGTGATGTGGGCGTCCAGGTCGGCGTCCTCGGGGAGTCCGGGGTGGTGGTACGAGTCGAGGAAGTGGCACGTCCCTGGGATCTCCGCCGGGAATCCCTGCGGCAGGCACTCGCGGGGCCGCGCGCTGAAGCTGAACCCTGGCGCCCGGATCAAGCACCTAGGAACACAGAAACACAATCGTCACTTACGAATGGAACTTAACTTAGGTAACATAAGAAGCTTTGGCACATCAACCTTCAAGTATACCTTCATGAAACAGCTCAACAAGGTCAGGGTCAAGAGCCGACTTTCGTCGGTTCTTTCAAATAGAGGCAGGGGTGCAAAAACTTCTCGACCACGCGACCGGGTGGGTCGCGAAAACGGGAAGCCCCCAAAATCGATGTTTTGAAATGGGAATGCCGGCAAAATCGCGATCATTTAGGCAAAACTGGGGTAAAATTCATGTGTTTTCCGTCAAGTCGTGGTGTAATTCACGTGCTTTGCGCAAAATGGAGATGTTGCATGTGTGAGGAATTTGCGATTTGACTATTGATTCTTATGTAAAAGTTCGCGAGAACCACGATGGTGCCACCGGTTTTCTCTGAAATCAACTCCCAAGCTCAAAAAAAGCTCTCAAGTTGAGGCCAAAATGGAGGGATATCCCACGCTATCCTGTGAGTCCACCTATACATCAAGACAAACTCTCCGTGCAAAGATAGGGAGCAAATACATTGACAGGGTTGCCGTGATTTCAGTTTTGGAGTCCCCAAATAAAGTGGCAGCCCTGTCAATGTATTTGCTCCCTATCTTTGCATGGAGAGTTTGTCTTGATATAGAGGTGGACTCTCAAGATAGCGTGGAATATCCCCTCCATTTTGGCCTCAACTTGAGAGTTTATTTTGAGCTTGGGAGTTAGGTCAGAGAAAACCAGTGGCACCATCGTGTTTCTCGCGAACTTTTACATAAGAATCAACAGTCAAATCGCCAATTCCTCACATATGCAACATTTCCATTGCGGCAATTTATACACAGAGCCATGAAATAGTTATCTTTCTGAAATTTTCTGGAGAATAAAGGTGTTTTTAAAATAGGAAGGCTCCTTTAAATTCGTCCTATGTTGAAAAGTTCGAACGCGCTTTGCTGGAGGTGCTAGAAGTGCAACGTGATTGAAGGCGCAAGAGCGCAACTATTTCGACTCGCGTGTGTAGTTTTGCCTGCGCGACGTATTTGAAGGAGTTTTGAATGAGAGCAGAACTCAAGCTCTGATAAGTTTATGCCCTTCACAAAAACATCACCAAGATGTGCAGCGTAAATTAAGGGCGCAGGTAGGCAACTATTTCGACTCGCGTGTGTAGTTTTGCCTACTCTAGGTGTCTAAACACTCCAATTGCTTGACATCTTGGATGCGTAAGTTATTTGGAGCCTGATCAAAATCTAATTTTCTTTCATCAAAACATCGACGATCTGGAGGGGAAGTGGAACAATCGCCGGGTTGAAAATAAGATTCGAAAATCAAAGGTCGGAATCTCCTATACAGGGGAGCCAAGTTCGAGGTAACATTCGGTCACTATCTTATTTCTCTCATTATTTTTACGTAGATTTAGTTGATTAAATTGAAAAGGCAGGAGCTCCATCCGAAAAACGTTGAGGGTTATCTACGATACACCATCGTGTTTCTTCTGAGATGTTACAAAGAGAGTTATGGTGAAATTGTGCCTTTGCAGGAACTTTATTCGAAAAAATTTGGGGGATCATTTCAGATACACCATCGTGTTTTCTCGTACTTCAACGCAGGAAGAGTCGGGTGGATTGAAAACTTCCAACTGATCGTTTACGTTTCAGGTAGGTAGTTGGGCCCAAGGATAGTCGGTTCTATCGAAAAACCCCAGCTTTTGAAGGAGCTCCATCCGAACATATAAGATAAAACGTTGTGCCTCTTAAGATCAATATTTGATTAAATTGAAAACCTCAATATTTTCTGGGGTGAGGTACACCATCGTTCTGCTCTGTAGCTTGTAATCAGGAATAGTTAATTCAATGGAAAAATTTTAATTTTCGCCGGAGTTCTATCACTGGGAAAAAAAACTCATTGGATCTGGAGTCCAGACTCTTAAAATCATCGACAAGAAAAAATACTCTTGATTCAATCAGATTTCAGCTTAAATCAAGAACCAAGCCTCTTAATTTGAGCGAATTTCATTTTGATTTAAGCTTAAATCTGATTGAATCAAGAGACCTGTTTCTTGTCAATGTTTTCAAGAGTCTGGATTCTAGATCCAATGTGTTTTTTTCCAGTGATTGGAAAAATTTCAAGAGCGGATTTGAAATAAGGATGCTTACTCGTAAGTGGTTGGGCTGACATTGATCCTGAGTGGTTCGCTCTGGGACTCGAACTTGTTGGCGATTGTGACATTGTGACCGAAGAGGCAGTAACGCGGCATCTTCACGCCCACTACTCCGGCTAAAACAGTACCCGTGTGCAGTCCGATCCTCATCTGTCAGCAGAAACACATTGAAATTTTTAATCGGTCACAGATACTGGAATTTTTTCACTTCCCAAATAGCACAGTACAATGAAAATATTGAAATGAACTAGCGATTTATTGAAATAAAATTGCGAATTTTTACCATAAAATTCCAATATTTTTACATCATTTGATCAATAAAAATAAAGTCCGATTTCAAGCAATCAACAAGATGAATGTTATGAGTCAGAAATATAGGCAAATAGCAATGACTGGGCATTTCAAGGCAGCGTGTTGTTTAGTATTTTGGAACAAAAATAAAATATGCGAGGAAATTAGGCAACATTTGATGTAGTCAGACTGATTCTGATTCATACGGTCCATATTATATATTCCAGGAAATCTAATACTTGGTCAAGGAAAACTAACCAGCAGTTTCTACAGTGGACTCTCGATAATTCGAAATTGAAGGGAATCGGCTTTTTATTCGAATTAGCGAGGTTTCGAAATAAAGAGAGTTCGAATTAAAGAGATTCCATGTGGAGAAATTTCGAATTAGAGAGGTTCGAATTAAAGAGGGAAGGCGCCATCTGAATTCGAATTATAGAGGGGCAGATGGACGGATTTACGCCAGAAGGTCTTTAGGTCAAAGGTCAAGCTCTTTCAGATACCCAGATACATAAACAGTTGATTCCGAATTGTAGAGGGAATGTACCGTCTTATTTCGAATTATAGAGGGAGGGTCATATTTACTTCCCACACTTCGAATTACAGAGAGAATTTTTGTCGCAATTTCGAATTATAGAGGGCCGCGCCAGCCTAAAAATTTCGAATTAACAAGGGGAGTAAAATACATTGATTTTCTTCGAATTAACGAGGTTTTCGAATTATCGAGGTTCGAACTATCGAGAGTCCACTATATTGATATTTTCTCCATTCATTCAAAAAAAAAGAGAAAAAAGAAATATGTTGAGAAGTTAACTTTGTAGATAATTGTGACGATCCATTGGAGAGAGGATTTGCTGTGCTCTGAGCAGTGAAAACTGGCCCAGATAACAGCGAGTAGCGAGAGCGACTACCGGAAGCAGAATCGTCAAGGAGTATGTGGTGTGGTAGCACGCGGATTTGCAGGCGTTTTATAGCGTGCTACTTTAGAGAGGCACGGTAAAATAGGACCCTCCCTTTTTCAGACCCGTTTTTCCGAGAGGAATTTTCTATGGCTCCAACTACTCATGCACCCTCCCTCACACTCATAGACTTAATAAGCACGCCTATTATTGTTCATATTCAACTAAGTCAAAGACTTGACTTCCTTTAAACAAAGACTATAATGACTAAAAAACAATGGGTGGAAAAGCCCTTTACATTTCCTCATTCGAGCCATTCTTTAAAGGCCTCACCACACGTAAATAAAGCTTGCGAATGCGTCAAACGTACTATATTCATCATATCACTGGCGCAAAGATTGTTTAGCACTAAATCCGTGTTTTTAAAAATCAGCCACCATATTGTCTCTCGTTTAATTTGTGAATTGTTATAATTTTTCGAAAACTAATTTGACAAATTTTGTCTTTTGCCTTAAAGATTTAATTTTTTGTCGTTAGCCAAAATGAATTGGAAGCCAAACACGCTTGCCACTAAATCTGGACTTCGTTAAGCGAAACGTAACTACTATTTCTGGCTCAGCTTAGTAGCAACACATGATCTGCTATTAGTCTCCCTAGGTAAATAAGGTTTTAAGGATGTAAAATGTAAAATAGTGATAAATATTAGTTCCTTCTTGCAAAATGTAATCCATTTCAAACAATTCAGAGGCAGGAATCATCCCCTAATTTCCTCCATGATCTATACAAAATTTTTCTCATGCAGTTCCTTTGGTTTGCAAAGCGTTCTATGCAGTTTACTCCGAAAGTTTGAGCTCATCTTGTGCGAAACGAAAAAAAGAATAAGAGAAAAATTGTTCGCCTTCACTTCAAAGATTAGGCAAAAACAGATACAGTACGTATCCTCAGCCCGCATGAGTTTAACCTATATTCATCGCAACTTCATATGGGTTTAGCGACAGACAGGCAGTATTATAGTTTCGTGGGCTCAAAGATGAAGCAGTTGACGCTATTAACAGTGTTAATTTGAAATCAAAGATTATATGAACCGCGTAAAACAGAAACGCACTGACACAGTTGCATGGTTTAAACCAAGGAAATGAAGTTTGAAATGTTACTTCTCTTAGAGACACAATGTTAAGAACTAAGATTAACGACAATTATCACGTTCGAAATATTTCTTCTCGACTTTGAATTTTTGGCTTGAGAAAATGAACAATTAGTTGAACTCAAAAACCCTTCCAACTCATTTTTCCTCAAAACGCGACTTGGTACGTTTGTGTTGAATTCGGCCCAACTTCAAACGCTACTTCTGAAATGAAATCATGACGACTTATTCGTTGTGAAGCGATGCAAAAGCATACTTACTCTGATCGGTTTTTGGTCGTGAGTGAGATGCTTGGAACATGTGTGTATCATCTTGAGCGCCATCCACGCGATTTGTTGCGAGTGATACGCGCTCTGTTTGTGCAGCCCACTCGCCACGCAGTACGCGTCACCAATCGTCTCTACCTGGAATTAGAAATGAAAATCACAAATGATTGATTTATCAACTGTAAGCTTGTTACATTGCAGGGTGTCTACTGGTGCTATTTCACCTGAGATCCTTGCCTCTTTATTGCCTTTTCCTCACTTTTTCCTCACCAAACACGCGTTTTGAACTCTGACTAAAATAGGTTTTCGCAAAGGTCACAGAAATTCGAATTTAAAAAGTGTTTATTTCAGAGGAATGCAGTAAATTACGCAGAAGTTAACCAAGATTTCGAGAGAACGTAATAAAATTAACTTTGTGTTAACGTTGGCGGTCCCCCACGTCTCTTTTGTGGCATACCTTAACTTTTTACCATTTTTTCTTAGTTTCCCATGCTAGTTTTTAGTCCTATCCATTCTTGTCTCTTGATATGCGGGACTTCTTAATTGACAGAAGCTAAATGACCTCCTCCAGTCTTCAGTGAGATCGAATTTAACGTAACTATGGTTACGTAATAATTTTATATTGATACTATCGCGGAGGGTGTCAAAAAATCGAATAATCACGTTAAGTAATTTATGGACAGCTCCTCCTCCGTAAGGTGGACACCCTGATTCAGCACGAGGGCTAGTTTTTCATCACACCCGGGAGCAAGGTTGCCGAATTGTGCAACATAATAAGGATATTTGACATGGGTTTAAGAGGGGGAAAGTGTTGATTTTTCAGCACAATCTGGCAATTCCGCCCGGGAGCCCTACGCGTCGACCTATGGGTGAATTTTTGGGCCCACTTTGAAGCAGGTACAGTGAGCGAGCGGAAACAGGCCGGCGCTGGAAAATCAATCCGGGCTATGATTTATGATGGGAGCTAATTATGAGCGCGGGACAAAACACGGGCACTCAACAATTCACGGCTCGGCGCCCGGCCCTCCGCTTCGATCAATCGTTTTGTTTTGCAAATTTAATCAGGTCAAGACGCGTGCTACACCCGCGGGGGCCCGCCCCGACTTGTACGCCATCTATTGTTCCGCCCCACGCGATTTCCTCCGGACTCGATCGATATTTTTCGATTGTTTCGCAACGGCACGGAGATCCGAACAACACGATTTGTGCCGTGATTAATTTCTCGCCTCATCCGGATTGTACTGCCTAGAGTGTTGCCATCTCAATCCTTTCAGTCTACCAACTATGCACCCAGAGACAAGAGACCCTCCACTGGCCTCTTGGCGACAGGTGGAAGCTTTTACTTTCAGGGATTCAACAGTTCCTTATAGAAAATTGGACGTATTTCTATCAAACGGAACTAAGCGCCAATTTGAGTTCCTTTTGAGGAATTTAGAATGCCGCGGATAGCGCGTTCTGTCAAACGGACCTAAGCGCCATAAAGCATTGCGAGTATAGGACGGAATAAGCCGGACGCCCGATTCCGCCGCCAATCAAAGCCCCCCTCTACCTCCCTCACCCTCTGGCGCTTAGGTCCGTTTGATAGAAATACGTCCAATTATAAGGGAGCAACAGTCATCACCTTAATTTCGGCTGTTGACCTACCTACATGCTATTGAGCTTCGGGTGACGTCATGAGCCAAACAAGTTTCCCAAACTTTGGCCATTTTCGGCTCGGTTGCGAAACGAAACTGCCAACACGTTGTTGAACGTCAACTATGTAGGTAAGTCAACAGTAGAATGCTCAAGTCCCGAAAGTAAAAGCTTCCACCATGGCCAAGATACTAGTGGAGGGTCTCTTGTCTCTGTACGCACCTTTGGAATGGCCACCAGAGAGTCGATTGTTGAATCATCAATGACCTTGGTATGTGACATAACATTGCTAAGGGACATTGCTCGAGTGTTACCTACGTAACGCACTATTTCCAATTTTTAGACCCCCTTTTCCCCTCGTAACGCACCCGTAACGAGGCCCTACACCCCCACCCCTTAGGAATTACGTAACGCTGGCCTAACACCCCCCTCCCCTATTTTCAAGAGATTCATTTGGGAAGGGCGGGATTTTAAATTTTTTGTACATTTTTTCAAAGGGCTTGACCCCCTGCCCCCCTTGTAACGCACTGAAACGCTCCTTCAAACCCCCCTCCTCCCTAGGTGCGTTACGCAATACTTGAACGGCCCTTAACTTAGGATTATATCGATTGAGGTCATTTGATGACGCTCCGACTAACGATTTGCAAGCAATCGACTTATCGAAATGGACCCAAAGGCAAATGGATCGGGAGGAGGATGGAAAAACATGTAAATCTAACCTCAATCCTCATTTCTTTGGATAAAAGTGAGGAGTGAGCCTAACTGCTCGGTGTTGGATGACGCACATCAGTAGTAATTATGCTCACATCATTGGAGTAAAACAGGGCTCTGTAGCGTGTTATAGTGTAGGCTTGTGCTACGCGTGCGTTACGGGGGATGGAGGAAGGGAAAGGGGGGTGTAAAAATCCGATTTTTAACGTAACGTTTTTTATAAAAGACTCCCTAATACCCTCACCCGATATACTGGGCTATTCCTCAGAGGGACAGTGTACCTGACAAGAAAAGCTATACTGAAGCATTCATCTTTCATGGGGAAGACTTAGTCTGTGTACATGTCAAAATCCGTTGGCTGGTGCTGAACTTAAAACAAAGAGATGAGGGAGGTTGGAAACACAGAAATAGAGAGAAAAAATAGCAAAACTGGGGAAAATTATTTATTTGTCTTCGTCTGTAAACCCTCTTGGCATCCTGAGACCCTCATGCTTTCTTTTTGTTCAATTTTCCCGTCTGAGTTTTTTTCTGCTTAATTAACTCTATTGCATGCTTGCCAAGGTTATAATGAAAGTTTTCACATTTTAACGGGGATTTTTTAGGACAGCATCCTGGTTGAACGGCAAAAGAAAGTTAGCGCGCGGATCATGAAACTACCAAACCACGGATTTCAACGCAGTGTCTGAAAATTCGCGTTCATATTTTATTGCTTCAAAAGAATGCTATGCTCGTCATTATTTTTGACGTGACATTTTCAAAAGATGTTCAAAAGAACACGGAAAAAGCAAACGAAATTTTTCGTTAAAATGATGATTAAGCCTCTCTAGAAAAGAAAATGTAATATAAGATTTTCAAAGTTGCAACCGGTCCTGAACAACCGGCAATCACCGGCGATTGCAAGCTATGAAAAATTCATGAAAACATTTTTATATACTTAATATATTTTTTTAACTAATGTTCATTACGCCTGGAATGGGTAGATACGTTTATTTTCCTTGAATACAGCAGTTAGCAGTGCTAGCACACCTGAGTGGACTTAAAGGCCCTAGATGAGATACGGTCGGATAGGCAACTAAACTAACTCCGCGACAAAGCGGAAAGTATCGCAGAAAATGAAGGCGCTCCGAGACACGATTGGGCTTTTGAAGTTCTTCGCCATGCGCATGATATTAATTGCAATTTGATGATGCTCCACGCACAAGAATACAAGGCTTTACTCTGCATCCATGGATGCGCTAAATCGCAATAATGGGAGTCTCAGGAAATTTCGGAGAAATTAATGCCCAAGTTTTTAAAAAGATTGGGACTCGGAATTATTTCGACAACGTGCGATTGCTCATTTCCTCAGTGGGACCATCATTCATGCCTTCGATCGCAAGCCAAAAGGGCAACAAAAAAAAACATAACGCCTAACCGAGGACCGACCGAATCCACAGTACTGAGGAAAAATTACCCCTCCCAGATTGAATTTTGATCAGTTTAAGGTATATAATTTGTGCATTATTTGAAAGTTGTAAAATGACGAATTATACCTCTTTCAGAGAAGTTTTATTTTGGTATATGGCCTATTTATTTCTGCGGCATTGAGTAACCTTTAGTTTAGTAAACTTGGTTCTATATTTCTGAAGTTCTGTCTTGACACCAATTCAGTAACTTTAAGGAGAATTTTTATTCTCTTTCCCTCTTTCCCCCCTTTTTTGGGCCCAAGATGGGGGGACATGCCATCATGCCCCCAGCCCCCCCCCGGATCCACCACTGGTTTTTCTTTACCATGGCAGTAATCCCCCCTTCGGCGGAGAGTAGACTCCGACAGGACGCGATGGGTCGTGTCTACTCACCGCCACCTTGCATCGCGGATTGAGTGTCATGGAGTCCGACCCGCACTTTGCCAGATCGGACGGAAAAACAACAGTCGTCACGCTGAATAACCCTGAGGAACTAACTACGGCACGAAATTCGGCAACGCCGCACGGGTCCGCTCTGCATATTTGCGGTGGAATCCCGCAATCCCTGCTTGATTTTTCTCGACAACCCGCCGCAAAGGATAATCCCGCGACGAATGAGATATTGCGCGTCTCCTGCGTTGCCATGCGGCACAAAATTGCCCGTGCTAAGGAAAGACACCGAGAGAACAATCCAAAAATGCGAAATTTCTCCTGACAAGAATCGAATTTTTTGCGCGTTTTTCGGACATTTTCTTTAGGAATTTGTCGTACAATTTCATTCATACCTTAGTCTGGTGTATCTAAAAATTTCAAGGTAAGATGCTCAAAAGTTTTCTTGTAATTAATTATTTTACCAGGGAAAATTTGACAGTACTTAAGGGTTCATACGCCGTTCTTTAGAACGGCAGTGCAATAATAAAAAAAAGAGAAAAAAAATATTCCCTCTCCGGGCGCCGAGGACAAACATTAGAATTACCTTCTACATGGGAAAAGTATGGTATACGGACGGATTTTGGATCCAGGTTGACTTAGAGTTAGGGAACAATATTGTCATATCTTTGTCGTTTTCTGATTGGTTCGTCAGTGTCAGGCTCTTTAAGAGGCTTTTACGGAAACATGTAAAGAAGCTCGATCTACTCGACCGAGGGAAAGTATGCACCAAAATGCCAAAACGGGATTTTCAACCTCAAAATAAAATCGAATATGAGGCAACGTCGGAGCTCATCATGACCTGCCGAGTGGGAGACTCCCAACCTTGATGTATCATTTTAATTGTCGCAGCGCAATCAATAAAACCCTCATTTTTCATCGGGCTCAGCCTTTGTTTTCCGACCGAAACGTCCTTTGCAC